GCGTCCAGAGCCTGTGCTCCGCAACGGGAGAGGCCGCAACAGTGAGAGGCCCGCGTACCGTACCGCAAAAAAAAAAAAAAAAAAAAAAGGGTGATCACATCACCTCCCTCCTAAGGTTGAGTGTGTGGGTGGAGTGGGGGAGCAAAGCTGGAGGAGCAAGTAAGACTGGGAAGTGGAGAAGCAGGCATCACAAGTCTTTGGGGGCAGTCTGCGGGTAAAGAGGTCAAGGTGAGGTGGGGTGAAGGATTTTCTTTAAAGAAGAGAAATTGACTTATGGTTGATCCATCTTGGTGGGAAGGATCCTGATGAGATGGAGCCCGAAGATGAATTCAGTTACTTGAGTGGGGTCTGGAGAAGAGGGGGGGAGGATTCCTGCTCAGACGGGCAGGGCAGGAGCAGCTGTGGATTCTGTTTTCTCTGGAAGCAGGGGGTGAGCATCAGTGAAGGACAGGTGGGGAGATATGTGGGATCTGGGGGCCTGAGGAGAAGATTTGAAGGAACTCTGAATGGGAGGAGGTGGGCTAGAGGGTTGTCCGGATGCCCAACAAGGGTAGGCAGCAGCCAGGGCCACCTAGGGAGTTCACACACTTCCTTGGCTCCAAGTCCCACCTCCTTGGCAGTGTCTCCTGACTTCTCTCCTCCTGCCCAGTCTCTTTCTAATGCCCCTGACCTGTGGATCCAGCTGCCTGTCACAGGTTCCAGGGGAACCACAAACTTTCCCGTGTTTCTGTTCCTCCCTGGTGCTTCCCACACGCCCATTTCCACAGCTAAGCCATTACCAAGGCTCCTTCCTGACCTTCACCTTGCTCATTCTAGCCCAAGATTTTTCTGAGCTGAGCAATGCACAGTCACTCCTGTCCCTTCCCTAAGACGCACTTCGGCTGCTTCCTAAGTGTTAGCCCTGTGCCTCACTCATAGAGCTACTCAATTATCTATCAGGGAGGAAGATCAGAGGGCATCCTGGAGGAGGCAGGGCTGGATTAAGTAATTTCTGCAACACCCCCTCCCAGCAGGCTGCTGGCTCCAGGATACACAGAAACCCACTACAGCCCAGATGGGCAGCCAGTAGTGCTGTTCCCCAACCATACGGTGAGATACTTCCATGGACTCTGAGGACAGGGTGAGGAGTGCTGGGGTATGCACCCACCAAGGGCCTCTCCACCATTTCCCCCATTCTCCTGTTCCTAAGGAAAAGCTGGAGCCAGTCCCCCACCATGCTTTCTTTCTTGCCCCTCCCACTTCAGTCCTGGCTGAGACTTGGGGCTGGGTCCTTTGCTTTCCAGGATCATTGCCACTACCATGGGCGTGTGAGGGGCTTCCTGAACTCCTGGGTAGTCCTCAGTATCTGCTCTGGGATGAGGTGAGGAGTTCTGGGGGGAGGGGGCTGGGCCTGGGGCTAGGGAAA